TGGCAGGTTGAAATCCAGTTTTTCCAGCACCATTTATTAAAGAGCTATCTTTCCTCCAGTGAGTGTGGTTGTTTCTTTTGTGAAATATCAGGAGGCTGAGTTATTTCTAGAGTTGTGTCTGCATCTTCTAATCTATTCCACTGATCCTTGGTCCGGTTTTTTTTGCCAGTACCATGCTGTTTTTTATCACATTGGCTTTGTAGTATAGTTTCATGTTGGGGATTGTGATACCCCTGTCATTTTTGGTGCCTAGAATCACTTTGGCTATTCTAGGGCTCTTCTGGTTCCAAGTGAATTTGTGGATTGTTTTCTTAGTTCTGTGACATATACTGTTGGGATTTCAATCGAGATTGGATTGAATTTGTATAGCAGTTTTGGAAGTATGGCCATTTTCATTATATTGGTTCTTTCTACCCAGGAGCGAGGGATGTCTTTCCATTTTCTTATATCCTCTTCAACTTCTTTTTTCAGAGTGCTGTAGTTTTCAAATTAGAGGTCTTTTACTTCCTTCATTAGATTGATTCCTAGGTATTTCATTTTTGAGGATGCTATTGTGAAAGGAATTACTTTCCCAATTTCTCTCTAAGTTAGTCTCATTTGTGTACAAGGCTATTGATTTTTGAGTATTGACCTTGTATTCAGCTACTCTACTCAACCTGTCAGTTAAATCTAGAAGTTTTTTAGCAGAGTTTTTTGGGTCTTCTATGTAGAGTATCATGCGGTCAGCAAATAATGACAGTTTCACTTCTTCCTTTCCTATCTTTATTCCTTTCTCCTAATTGCTATGGCTAATGTTTCCAGAACTATATTGAACAGGAGTGGTGATAATGGAAATCTATCACTTGATCCTGTCAATTTTTGACCATTTAGTATAATATTCGCTGTTGGTTTTTTCAGGTTGAGATAAAGACCATCTCTTCCAATTTTCTGTAGGGTCTTTATCATGAATGGGTGTTGGATTTTGTTGAACACTTTTTCTGAATCTATTGAGATGATCATATGATTTTTTTCCTTGACTCTGTTAATACAGTGTATTACATTTATTGATTTACATATGTTGAACCATCCTTGAATCCCTGGGATGAATCCTACTTGGTCATGGTGCATGATCTTCTCGATGACCCTCTGTATTCTGTTTAAAATTCTTATTAAGAATTTTTGCATCTACATTCATTAGGGAGATTGGACTGTAGTTCTCTTTTTTGGTTGGGTCTTTCTCTGCTTTTGGAATCAAAGTAATGCTTACTTCCAGGAATGAATTTGAGAGTATTGCTTTCCTTTCAATTTCATTAAAGAGTTTGAGAAGTAGTGGCATTAGCTGTTCCCTAAATTTCTTGTAGAATTCAACAGTGAAGCCATCAGGACCTGGGCTTTTCATTGTTGGTTAATTTTTAATTATGATTTCAATTTCACTGATGGAAATTGGGGTGTTTAGAACCTTTATATCTTGTTCATTCAACTTTGGTAACTCATATGTATTTAGGAATCTGTCCATTTTTTCTGTGTTTTCCATTTTATTGGAGTACAGGTTCTTGAAGTAGGTATTGAAGATCCTCTATTTCTGCTGGATCTGTTGTGATTTCAGTCTTTTCATTCCTAATTTCATGGATTTGAGCCTTTTCTTTCCTTTTTTTGATAAGGTTGGCGAAGGGTTTCTCAATTTTATTTATTCTTTTGAAGAACAAACTCTTGGCTTCATTGATTTTTTTGTATTATTCTCTTAATCTCCATTGCATTGATTTCTGCTCTGTTCTTTACCATTTCCTCCCTTGTGTGAGCTTTGGGTTTGTATTGATCTTCTTTTTCTAGGAGCTTGAAATTCAGCATTAGGTTGTTTATTTGGGCTCACTCTGTTTTCCTAGTATGGGCATTCACTGCCAAGAATTTCCCTGGTAGAACTACTTTCATTCTGTCCTATTGATTCCTGTATGTTATATTAGCATTATGATTTAATTGTAGAAACTGTCTAATTTCTTCTCTAATTTCCTCTGTGATTCATTGGTTATTCAGGAGAGTGTTTTTAAATTTCCATGTGTTTGTGAAATTCTTGTGGTTTCTTATGCTATTGATCTCTAGTTTAGTTGTACTATGATCTGATGATATACAGAGGATAACTTCAATTCCTTTGCATTTACTTGAACATGTTCTATGAGTTAGCATGTGGTCTGTTTTGGAGAATTACCCATGTACAATTGAAAAGAATGTGTATTCTGATTTTGTAGGGTGGAACATGCTGTAGATATCTATCAAGTCCATTTGTTCAAAAGTTTGATTCAGTTCTAGTATTTCGTTGTTGATTTTTTGTCTAGATGATCAGTCTATTTGTGACAGTGGGGTATTGAGGTCTCCCAGTAC